CCTCAGGAAAGGTTCTTGACAGTAGAATTTCCTAATGCAATTTCTGTCTGCTGGTGCCAAGAGTGTTTGACTGTGAAGCTGAGCAAGTTAAAATTGTTAGCAATCTCAATTTCTTCCCCATCTGTCATGACACTGCCAAATGGTCCTGTGGTGAGAATCTTTGTTTTCTTGATGCTGAGCTGCAATCCACATTTTAGATTGCAATCCTTGACTTTCTGCAGCAATGATTCAGGTCCTCCTCAGTTTCAGCAAGCAAAGTTGTATCATCTGTGTAGCACAGGTTGTTGAGGCTTCCTCCAATCCTGATGCCACATTCCTCCTTAAAAAGTCCTGACTTCTGAATGATCTGTCCCACATAGGACTGAGAAGGTACAAAGAAAGGACATATCCCTGATGCACTCCTTTCATGATTTTGAACCAGGCAGTATTTCTTTATTCTGTACTGAAGAGACTGCTTCTTGATCTAAGTATAGGTTTCGTATGAACAAAATTAAATGTTCTGGGATTCCCATTCTTTTCAATGATAGCCACAATTTGTTGTTATCCACACAAATGCCTTTGCACAGTCAATGAAACAAAACAGGCATTCTTCTGGCACTCTCTGCTTTCAACCAAGATCTGTCTGACATTGGCAATGATGTCCCTAATGCCATGTGTCTTCTACAACCAGCTTATATTTCTGGTAGTTCTGTCTAGAACACTGAAAAGCCAAGGCAAAAGGAAGAAATCAGGAAGTTAGGAGCTGAACAGAAGGTTTAAAAGGGAAGCTTGGGAAGATAAAGCAATATGAAAATATAAAATTTTTGTTATAAAATATAACAAAATGAGCAGAGAGCTGTCCTCAGAAAATCAAAAGAGATGAACTTGCTCAGCATTTCTTAAGCTGAAGGAACTGAAGAACAAATTCAAGCCTCGAGTTGCAATACTGAAAGATACTATGGGCAGAACAATAAATGATCCAGGAAGCATTAAAAGAAGACAGAAAGAGTACACAGAGTCACTATATCAAAAAGAACTGGCTGAGACAGAAGAATTTCATGAAACATATGATTAAAAGAAAATGGTGATGAAGTTCAAGCTCCTCTAGAGTAACTGAGGGGGGAAAAAGCCCCAGAAATTGATGGAATACCAATGAACATATTTAAACAAATAGACGCATCCCTCAAGGTGTTCACCAAGTTGTGCCAAAAATATGGAGGCCAACTACCTTGACAACTGACTGAAGAGATACACATTTATTCCCAGTCCCAAAAAAGGTGATCAAATAGATTGTGGAAATGAGAAAACAATATTACTAGCAAGCAGAATCCTGCTAAAGATTATCCAAAAATGACAGGAATAGTAATAGTACATTGACAGAGAACTAGCAGAAATTAGATAGCTTTTTATCATTTCCATCTTCCAGAGGCTGAATTCTCTCCATATTCTCTGTTATTTTTCCAGAACACTTATGAAAACATGGCATTTCTTCCATCTGTTAGTTTCAAGCTAAAATATTTTAAAAGCTCATTTTCCTTTTCCCGCTCTTTTCAGTATACAGCACGGAATTACACTAGTTCAAGTTAAAAGTGGACCCCAAATGGTTACATTTTATTTGCTGTGATGTTTTAAACTTGTGGTAAGGAACAGAAAGGAAATCTGTCAAGAGAATCTCTGTAGAGAACATAATATCCAAATCCAAATTATATGCCCAGCAAAACAGTCCTTCAAATATTTGGGTGTTTCCAGATAAAAGAAAATTTAGTGAATTTATAAAAATCAGACCAATCTTAAAAGAAATACTAAAGGGAGTAAAACTATCTTGAAATTAACACAAACATCATCATTATTTAGGAACCATCCGGATACAGAAATATGCAAAGGGAAATAAACTTACAAGACTGAAAATTTGGAACAAGAGGCATCAGTCGATAAAAAAATAACAACAAACCAGAAAGGGGAATAACAGCACAGTTACAAAGCTATTTTATATTTGCAATAAAATAGTAGTTTAGAGTAGCTTCAAAGAAAAAATAGACTTCATCAAAATAAAACATTTCTAAAATCATAAAGACTTATTAACATTAAAACAAAAGTAATGAGGGAAATGATAAGACCTTAAACAAAATTACTTCAGCACTAGAGGAATAAAGAAATCAGCAGTACTATACAAAATAAAAAGGAAAAAAGTACAGCAAAATGACAGAGACAAAACCATAATCATTGAGAATTGCACTGCATGTGAATGGATTTAAAGCACCTGTCAAAAGAAGAATGGATAAAAATCCATGACCATCAATATGCTACCTAATAGAGATACTCCTTAGACACAAGGACAAACATCAAAGGGAAAATATTTATCAAGATAACAGCAATCAAAAAAGGGCAGAAGTAGTAATATTGTTTCCAAGGCAAAATTTAGCTTAAAAGATGGATGGACATTAATGATAAAAAGGTTCACTGGCCAAGAGAACAAAACTATAATTAATATTCTATACTCAGAGTAACAACACAGTACGTAACAGAGAACCAAAAATATTTAACTCTAAGTTTAAAAAGACAACTTGATAGTCACTCATCCACTCATTCTACCACTATCTATGAAACATAAAACTAGAAAGAAACTAAAAGAAAGAACTAAACAATACAATTAACTGACTTGACTTCATAAACATATACAGCCCATCATGCACATTCTTCTCTAGTGCACATGGAACATTCTTCAGAACAAACCATGTAATTGGTCACAAAGCAGCCTCTGTTAGGTAAACAAACATTGAAATACTACAAACATCTAAGAGGTGTGTTAACATGATTTTGATGTGTGCATTGTGTGTGTAAATTGTCCTCTGAGCATTGCTTTGTTCCAAACATTCTGTTGGGGATTTTGTTTTGTTTTAAAAGAGGCTCTGGACAGTTTCATTAAAGAAAAATACTGCAGGAGTTATTTTTCACCAGTCCTTTTTGGCATCCTTCGGAGTATCGGAATCACCTGGACCTCTGCTAGCCAGTGTGCACACTCCATAGGATTTTCCACATGCGTGACCAATTCAACATTATTGTCACTGGAGTGACGGACACTAGTTTAGGCCAACATGGCATAATACTCTATTTCAGATTTCCGCAGGGGTAGGCAGTTATTAGTGATGATGACCTTCGCTCTGCCTTGCCTGATCATATTCAGAGTTTGCTATAACATCACTGTGTAGTTTACACTTTTGTAACAAGGAGACTATAAATGTGATCAACTCAAGAGACATTTTCATCTTTGAGGCTACCTCCTTCTTGTGTTAGGTGTGGGATGGCCACCAAGCAATAGCAGCCACCAAGAAGGCCAGCTAGGGAAAAAGGACAGTCTGACCACAATGCAAGGCACTTCAACAAAGCCATCCCAAAGGTTTTGGCATGTTGTCTATTCATTCTTATTTGACATAAGAAATTTTCCATTTCTTTTTCTTTATTGTTACATAGTGTTGAGTAAGAAACTATTCATAGCTGACCCTCTCCCAGGCTTTCAGATTTCACAGGAGAACACTGCCCATCTTTTCTGAGTGAAACAAGCAGCTGGGGAACTCAAACTGCATGTCTTCAGGCTGGCGGTACAACTCCTTACCACTAGGCAACCAAAACTCACCTATTTCTTCTATATTCAGTAGTTTTCAAGCAAGGTGCTTCCTCAAGTTCCCTGTTGTTGATTTCTATTTTTATATCACTCTATTCTAAGAAGTTGCTTTTAGTATGTGTATGTTTACGATAGATAGAGACCCCTAGGGCTGTATATAGGTTTGGCAGATTTATTTCTACATTCTTATTATATAATGTAAATATACCCACATATACAGCAGAGTCAACAGGGACACAAAGGAATGTAAAGGTTTTAATCACCCCTTTGGTTCCACAGTCTTGAAGAACATCAGGGTTCACTGGCATAACATAGTCCACAAAAGCCTTACTCTTAAATCTTACTCAGTGGGGAGCAACTGGGGTCTTAAAAGCTTTCAAACAGTCATCTAGGATGTACTTATTGGTCTCTCCCTCACCAGCACAATGAAAGAAGGAAAGAAAAGATGCATATGTTCAATATTGGAGAGGACCTGGGGGGAGGGATTGTAAAACAATGAAAGAATTTTACTTTTCCAAGAGGGTAGTGTACTGGGAGTGAGGGTTGGGAGGGAAGAAAAGTGCAACAATGAATGAATGGAAATCCAAAGTCTCTGTAAATTTTCAATGAAATGAATGATAAACTAAAAAAAAAATTATTTCAAAGGACTAACAGGCCATGTGGACCTAAACTTCTATGACTCTGAGACCAGAAGAAGTAGATAGTGGCTATCACTGCTGACCACTATAAAATGGATCATAGAAGAAATGTTCTGGATAGAGTGGGTGAAATGTGGATTAAAAACAGAAAACATTAAAATGGCCAGGCTTACTGGTCAAACCCTGAGACCAATGGTTCTTAGTCACTCTTCAAATCTAGAGAAAAATTCACCCTGGGGACTGATGTTTCGGCTAAACAATGAATAGGCCTGTGAGGCTACCAATAACAGCACCAAGGAGGCCTCACTTATCACCAAAAACCACCCATTTAAGGTTAAAAGGTCAGCATTTGCCCAGGAATACAGTTCAGAAGTCAGGAAGGAACTAATGGAAAGAATTACATAAGAGGGAAGAATGGGGGTACTGTACTTAATGCTACAAAAGCATGATGTATGTGAATAATTGAATGGAAACCACTTTGCTTTGTAAACTTTCTCTGAAATCACAATTTTTTCAAAACCCAGTGATTTCCTTCTCTTTTGTACTCCACATCTTCTAATATACTTACACTAATAATTAAGCTTCCACATCGAAAGGTCCCACACAACAAAGAAGTAAGAGAGATCTCTAGGGAAAAACCAAGGCCCCCAGTCACAAAGTAGTTGAATCTTGGCACAGTCATAGAAGCAATGTCACCTTGTGGTCTCTGACTAGTTTGCCAGTGAAACAACAAATGAGGCTTTGCTTTCTGATGCACTCACCTTAAAGTGATGGCTGTGGGAGTTCCATACCACCAAGTCAGGGAGGCCACCTCGACAGTGTCGGAAGTCAGTGGCCAAGCGCCTGCACACACCACTTAGGAAAGGGCCACCCAAGCAGGAGACAAGATCCTGGACACAGAATGCATGGAAATCAATCCTTTTTTCACAGACCCTGAAATACATCACAGTAGCCAGGAGATAAAAATTCAATGGGTCAGAAATCAAACTGTGTTCCAAGTAAACCAGAGGCAGATTTTGGTTCTTCTGTTTGTTGAGTTAAAATAAGTCTGGGTAACTTCTGTTTTCCTTTAGTCATTTTTCATACCTGTTAAATGAGGAGGATGCTGAGAAGCATCTGAGACAGAGGGGGGCTAGAAGGAGCACTCATAAATTATGGTAGTGCTAACTCACAGAGGCCTGGCAGTCCCAGAGGAGGGCAGCATCCTTCTCTCTGACAGACTAAAGAGGTGGCAAAGGAAAGTGGGCATCCCAAGGTTGGAATAATTAGGCTTTCTCTGAGACCTAAGATGTTCTCATTAATGACAATAGCATCTGGGATGGGGGAGGTTTGAGGAAAGAGAGTTGAACTGTGCTTATATAAAATATATAATACACACACACAAATATATGTGTATGCCTGCATGCATGCACTATATGTATCTTTTGATATAGTTGCCATAAATACATCCAGTAGTATTCAGAAGGCATTTTAAGAGAGTGGTGTAGTCTGTCGCCAACTGTATTATGCTGGTATCCCAGAAGCTATCCTATCTCTGATAGGGATGGGCATTCTTCTCCTGTTACAACATGTTGTTGTTAAGTACTGTCTAGTAGCAGACAACTCATAGCGACTCTATGAACAAAAGTCCTGGACACCTTCTGTATAACTTTTGTTCTTTCTCCAGGTTCATAGGGGTTCCAGAGACAAGCTATTATGGAAGTAGATACCACTTCTGCTTCCAAGCTTGTTTTAATCAGGGAGCTTCACCAAACACCGTCCATGGTAACCATTCTCGCATTTGATTCATCAGTGTCACAGTGTTCGGCTTCACAGCAACCAACAGTTACCTCTGTACAGCAAGTGGACATACCAGGGTTACACAACCTATAAGAATGTTTCACCAAAAACAATTAAAGGCAGGCCTGAGGGCCACGGAGTAGAGTCGTCCACCTTTGGCGTGGGAGCATGGCTTTCTGTCTACTAGGTCGATTGTTCTCTCCTTCCATGCTACTGCTGGTGGTGGTGGTGGTGATGTTAAGTGCCGTCGAGTTGCAGGAGACTCATAGCAACATTATGAACGAGACACCTCCTGTGTAACTTTCGTCCTTTCTCCAGGTTCATAGGGTTTCCAGAGGCAAGCTATTACGGAAGTGGATGCCACTCAAGCTTGTTTTAATCAGGGAGCTTCACCAAACACTGTCCACATGGGTAACCATTCTTGCATTTGACTCACCAGTGTCACACATACCCTTGGAATTCCAATGAGGGTGCTGTGAGTCAGAACCAAGGTTATGACAGTGACTTTGAGGTTTTTTGTTAGCTTAAGGGTTGTTTTTTTTTTAACCCACTTTCTGAACAAATACAGTCATTCAGATAACAACAGTTATTACCTGGGCTTGTTGAAGAGAAGTAAAGCAGTCCCAGCTGACCAGAGAAGTCACTCTGCCTTCCTGAGCCTGCCATGAAGCTGCCAACCAGGCATGCAGAGTCTCAGCAGGGGCTGTGTGAATGAGCTGCAGTCTGGCCTCCATGGCCTGTTCCCTACTTGCGAAGAAGCTGTCTGTGTACAAGTCCAGTGGGAAGGCCTGTGGCACAGAGAGAACAAGCTCTCTCATACCAGGCCTGGAAAGGATATTAATCAGGTACATTCAAGCCCTGCAAAACCTGAAAACTGGCTGATCTCATTAAATTGTTATCATCCCATTTCTAAAAAGGTCAGCCAAAAATTATCTGATGCAAGTAATCTGATACAAAAGCAATTTGCATACTTGTCTTTGATGCAAGTAATCTGATACAAAAGCAATTTGCATACTTGTCTTTGAGAACAGTAATTTTCAGACAGAGCTTTTTTATCACATAAGCATGACTAAGTGGGCATATCTGACATCAATGAAAGAAAAAGCACAGAACTGGGGACACAGTAAAGGCTCAGAAATGCTGATGCTGAATCAACTGGATTAAGGAGCAAAATCTTATGCAGAAGGGGATAAAACTTAAAGTTTAAAACTCAATAAAGATAGCTGAAATTGTTTTCTGTGAATCTGATTTTTAAATTTAAAAGCCATTTCTTATACAAAGTAACACATCGACTATGTAGACAACCCATAAGGCAAGCAAGCATGCTCTAAGCATATCTGTCTGTCTCTCTCTCTCTCTCACACACCCCCTAGCTTTAAAACACTCTGTGCATTCCCCATGGACTAGGAAGCACCACAACTGGCCGAGCAGTACAGATACCTGGTAGGCATTCCTGAAGACGTCTGGAATCCCATTCATGAAGATGACATCCCACAGGAGGAGGCCATAGAGGGTACTGAAGGTAGACCCTTCTCCATGGATCCCTACAATAATCAAAGCTTTCTCAGTTTTCCTGAAAATGGCATACTCAGTCTCTTAACTATTTTATTTTAGATTCAGAATGTAACATTTGTGCCATTCACAGCTCATGGTTTTACTCTCTATACGTTGTTAACATGTAAGGCACAATTAACAAAATATATTCAAAGCACAGCAATCACAGGAAAGTTCAAATGAACATTTCAAAGCACTCATTCCTAAACTTTAGTAATAATGTAATGAATGTAAAAAAAAAAAAAGACAGAAAATAGTAACAGCAGTAGATTCTTTCCTCATGCTGCAGACATCACTAGATTGGCAAGCTCAGTATATGCTGGGGAGTTCTAACACAGGAGTCCCTCTGATCATGGGAAGCAGCTCTTTCTGACAGACATTGAGCAGGAGGAACCATGGCCCCAGAAGCCCAGCTGCTGCCCTGGGACTGCTGAGGTAGGGGAGGTGGGCAGTGTCCACAGCCTGTATCCAGGGGTTGCTTCTAGTGTTCTCAGTCAACCAAGAATTGCAACCAAACATTTCAGGGTTCCTAACAGTCTAAGTTTTCACCTCTCAAACCTTCAAGAGTACACGCCCCTCCTGCTGATTGGGAAGCAAAGTCCAAAGCTGAAACAAGTTCAGCTTTGTTATTGAATTGGGTTTCCAAAAAATAAGTGGTACAAATCCTTACCTTTACATCAGTGATTATAATCCCATTTGTGATGGGGTTGTCTTTGATATTTTGATGAGACAGGTGTTTGGGTATGTCTTTCACATATCTGGGAAGAGTAGAGTATTTTCACCCAAGGAATCCTACTGCATGAGTATGAGGAGGCACATCTCCAAACAATGGAGCACAGAATGTGGGAGATGCCACAGTGGGCAGTGAGAGGTGAACCTGATCACAGGTAAATCAGAGAGACAACAAACATCTTGCCATCTGCTTCCCTAAGCCTAGGAAAGGAGTGTATGCATGAAGTAACAGAAATAACGCAGCCATTTTGACCCATCAAGGTGGGTCACAGAATCATGCTGAGAACGTAAGCATTGTCCTGTCAGCATTTATACAAAAGGCATATCCATATTCAAGATCTCCCATGATAAAAAGCTTAAAAAAGAAAAAGACCTTTCAAACAATAGACAGGCCTATAAAGTTAACAATAAGAGCAGAAAGGAGCATACTTCTCAGAGTAATCAGGTATGAGACCAAAAGACATGTGCCTCAAAAAAAGGTCAGATGGAAGAAAGGGGCAATTAAAAAGGGAGAACGAGAATGGTGAACTCAGGGAGAAGAAGCAGAGTGCTCTTAGATTGAAGGGACCTGAAATGAAGTCATACAACAACATACATATATACTGATGAACGGAAAACTAATAGGCTTTGTAAACTCTGAACCAAAATCTCACATACACAAATATACAAGAACTAGAGGAGGAAAGGGTTAAAACCAGGCTCTGTTGGCCCTCCTGTCACTGGTTGATCAGGCTGGACAGGAGACCTTCACTGGAGGTTGCTGTCAATGGAAGGCATTACGTCAACTACGACTCACTGTAACCCTGTGAATAACAAAGTTGAACCTTATCCTATCCTGTACATCCTCATTTCTGATGTACTTGAGCCCACTGTTCCAGTCACTGTCAATTCATCTTGGTGAGGCTCCTCCTCTTTCTTGCTGATCCTCCATATTCTCAGCATGACATCTGTTTCCAGGAACTGACCCCATTTGACTACATGACCAAAACTGTCTGAGACAGATCTTCACCATCTTTGCCTCTAATGGGCAACCTGGCTGCACTTTCTCTAAGACTTGTTTGATTTTGGCAGTCCATCTTTCCCAACACTACAATTCAAAGACATCAATTCTGTCATCTTTATTCCGTGTCCCATTTGCAGATGCAAGGTAGGCAATGGAAAAGATCCTGGTTTGGATCAAGGATACCTTAGTCTTTAAACCAGTTTCTTTGCTTATTAGAACTTTGGAGAGGTCCTTGACAAAAGCTTTGCACAATCCAACATCTTTTCATTTCCTGACTGCTGGTATCATGGGTGTTGATTGTGGACCCAAGTAAGATGAAATCTTTGACAATTTAAATCTTTATCTATCCTGATGTTGCCTATTGGTCCAGTGGTCAGGATTTCTGCCTTTTCTGATGTTAAGATGTAATCCATATTGAAGGGTGCAGTCTCTGATCTTCAGCAGTTAGTGTTTCAAGTTCTCTTCACTTACTGCAAGTAAGATTGTGCCACCTGCAAAGTACAGGTTGTTGTTAGGTCCAACTCTGATGCCACATTCTTCTTCATATTGTCTAGCTTCTCTAAAGATCTGTTCAGCATACAGATTGAATAGATATGGAGAAAGGCTACAACCTTGAAACACAGCTTTCCTGATTTTAAACACTGGTCCCTTGCTCTGTTTGGATAACTGTTCATGGTTTAGGTATAGCTTTCCCATGAACAAAATTAAGTTTACTGGGATTTCTAATCTTCTCAATGTTAGCCATGATTTGGTATGATCCACAGTCCTATGTCTTTGCATAATCAATAAAACACAAATAAACATCCTTCTGTTATCCTCTACTTTCTGCCAAGATCCATCCAACATCAGCAGTAATACCCATTGGGCCATGGCCTCTTGTGAATCCAGCTTGAATTCTAGAAGTTTCCTGCCAATGTATTGTTCTAGCCATTTTTTATAATCTTAGGAAAGACTTTACTTGCACGTGATATTAATGCTATTATTTTATAATGATTTCCATATTCTATTGGATCACCTTTTTGGGGAATGGAAACAAATTCAATTCTCTTCCAATCAGTTGGCCAGGTAGGTATCATCCAATTTTCTTGACATAGATTGGTGAGAACATCCAGAACTGCATCTGTCCTTAAGTACAATGCTGTAAAAGGTACATATGCAAGGAGGAATTGTCAATAAACAGTTATTCAAAAATACACACACCATTAAATCCAAAAATGATAGAAATTGAGGACTTCCCACCAACTTTAGCAATCTGAAATTGATCAAACATGCAATTAAGATGCGTTCATAATAATTTGTGTCCGGAACACAAAAGTTGGATACAGAGAAGAACTGGTAGTTGGAAAACATGAACAAATGATAGAAACAAGATCTTATGATAGAAGGATATATAGTAAATTTTTTTTTTCATTACAAATACCTTTTCCAAAAAAAGATGGTGATTATATTAAGTGGATTTCACCTGATGGACTACACAGGAGTCAAACTTACTACCACTGTGGAGAAAGTCAATAGAAAAGCGCAACATCAGCAGTCAAAACAAGGCCAGAATCACTGTGGAATAGACTCTGAGTTATTCATATATAAATTAAAATTGAAGCTAAAGAAAATGAAAATGAGAAATCCTAAGAAATTTAATATGAACTTTAGTCTTTTCCAAATGAATATAAAGCCATCAATAAGACATTTGATGCTTGGAGCACTAATAATCAAAGACTAATAATCATTGTGGGATGGCATCAAGGATATCCATGAACAAAGCAAAGTCACTACAAAGCAAAAATTCAGAGAAGAAATAAAAGATCTAAATGTCTGTCAAAAGAGACTCTGAAAATTGCAGTAACATGCTAAGAGGCCAAAGTAAAATGAAGAAATACTGAAGTAAAAGAAATCAACAACTGATTTCAAAAGGTAACTCAAGAAGACAAGGCCAATGATATACCAAAATGTGCAAAGAGCTGGAGTTAGAAAATCAAAAGGGAAGAATACACTTTTCCATTTCTCAAGTTGAAATAATTGAAAAATCAAACTGAAGCCTTTGAGATGCAAAATCTTGAATGATGGAGAAAGCAAAAGAAGAAAAAAAAAGTAGAAGGAATACACAGAGTTACTGTACCAAAAAGAATTGGCTGACAATAAAGCATTTCAGGAAAAAGCATATCATCAAGAAGCAATAATAAAGTAAGTGTAAGCTGCAAAGCTGCAATGAAGGCAATGACAAAAATCAAGGACCTCAAAATCAATGGATACCAACTGACATATTTCAACAAACACTTAGAACCTCAGACAGGCACACGAGTCTATGCTAAGAAATTTCGAATGAAATATGGGTGCCTACCCAACTGACTGGAAGAGATCCATATATGTTCTCATTCCCCAAGAGTGATGTAACCCAAAAGAATCTGGAAATTATCAAAGACTTCAAAGACTATCATTATGTGCACATGCACGTACAATCTTACTGAAAAGTATTCAAAAAGAACTATTATATAATACATAGACAAGGAACTATAAAAAATTCAAGTTGGATTCAGAACAGGCCATGGCACCAGGGATATCACAGCTGATGTCAGAGGAATCTTGGCTAAAAGCAGAGAATACCAGAAAGATGTTTATTTGTGTTTCATTGACTATGTAAAGGCATTTGACTGTGTAGATCACAACAAATTATTGCTAATATAAGAATGCAAATCCCAGTAAACATAATTGTGGTTCATGTAAAAAAATACCTATATAAAGAAGTTGTTGTCTTAACAAAATAAGGAAACATTGGTTTAAAACCAGGAAAAGATGTACACCATACATACTCAATCTGTATGCTGAGCAAATCATGATAGAGAAGCTGGACTACACAAAAAACAATGTTGCATCAGGATTGGAGGAAGATTCATCAACAACCTGTGTTATGTAGATGTCACAACTCTGCTTGCCAAAAATTACCTAGACCTGAAAAACTTACTGACTTCAATATGGATTATTAAATATTGATTACTCCTTAACATCAGGAAAAGAAAAATCCATCCATCATAAGGTCACACAATTTGGTGGGTGGAGATGAGGTGAAGGTAAAGGAAAAACATTAAAATAAAGAACACTTGGTTTGGAGGGAAAAAAAGAAAACAAAAATCCTCATCACTGGAACATCAAGAAAGATGGAGAAAAGATTTGTCAAAGGTTTCATTTTACTTGGACACACAGCAGTAAGTTCAAATGAATCCCAAGACTACTGCCCTTAGTCACTCTTCAAACCTGGAA